CGCGAGTTAAACTTTCATGATTCGAAGAGTGATAAATTCGAATCACTCGAGTCACGAGTTGACGAGTCCAGTCCCTAGTCTAGATATATCTATCGTATACGAATATTTAGAATGTAATTATCACCAATAAAAACAATAGCTTGAAATGATTGAAATGACTCAAACGGACAAATTATTAGTCATTGGATCATTTCAAAACCTAAATGACTTTTGAAAGACATTTAATACATGTTTAATCGATAATTTAATACTTAGTTAATAAAAATTTGGGTACCAAACAAAATTGATTTCATAAAAATACAATTGATGATTATAGACAACATGTAAAGATAGAATTTTACAAAGTTAGTAGATATTTTGAACTTCTTCCTATGACTATACTTTTTAAAGAAAAAGCCTTCTGTCACACATAAATGATAAGACTATAATAGTTATACACATATAGAAGATAGATATATATACAGAGTAAGAAAGTAGTATTCACTTCCAAACCAACCGTAAACAATTAAATCTACTATCTATTGGTTCGATTTCGTATATACAATCAATAAACCCAAATACGCTTTAACAAACCAAGTAATATCTTAAAGTTTATCTCTCACACGAATAAGTTTGTTTTGCTCCAAAACACTTAACTCTTGAAATCTCAATCTCTAAAAAAAAATGGCTGTTTTGTTTTAGTACATTTTAAGATTTCAACGCTCTTTTTAATTTTATTTACCTCTTTCAGAATATCGCGTTTAAGCTAACTTCTCTTAATATGAGATTATAAAAGATTAATTTAAAGTTAACTTTCTAACACTCTTCTGAAGTTAATTATGATATTTTTGACGATTTGTTGCTTGTGTAATTTTACATTTTCAAGAAGTACTTTAAAGTGTATAAATGAGCATTTGATTTACACTGCAAATCAGACGATTTCTGTCTATGAATTTTAAGGTGTTGCGCATGATTTTTAGAACCTTTATTGGGGTGCGGAAAACTTTTGTCGGACACTGTAAGTAATTAGACCTGGTTATAACACTAAAGAGGATACTCTCATAAAAGCAAATACTATTTCATAAGTATATACCATACTATTAATTAAATAAGAGTTTTAGAAAATGATTTATCATAAATATTTTTACACTGAATTACTAAAAAGGGAGTAGAGGTATTATGCTAAGAGGATATTTAATATTTTGCAAAAGATTATGTAATTAAAGAAATATGGGAATGGTGTGCCGCCTTAGGGCTGTGTCATTTACCCCCCTAAAAAATCGCCTGATTTTTTTTTCACCTCCCTTAGTAACTACGTACAACGTATGGACCAGCATTTGTCCCTTTATCAACAACTACCATTTATGGTTATATGAGTCAATTTATTTATAAAATATAGAAAAAGATTTATTTTATTATAAAATATAAAATCGAGATATAGGATAGATATAGAACAAAAAATAAAATAAAAAATAGTGATAATAATAATAATTCATAAAATATATAATCAAAGAATTAAAACAACAAATAAAACCAACTAATCTAATACAATTTCTATGCGATCGTCTGCGTCCACATGCTCTTTTACTTCTTTTTTAACCTTTTTGGCTTCTTTTCCTTCTTGATTAAAATAAGCCGATGAAATATCATTGGAGGTACGTTCTTGATGTTCGCCTTTCTTACCACCAAGACATTTTTTTAACTTTGCAATCCATGACAGATTTTGAGTAGGTATCAAACGAATCAATGCACCAAAGAGTACAGATGAAAATCCAAGCCCAACGCATAATAGCCATTGTACAATATTTAATTTTTGAGTATTAAATACTATTCCTCCGAATGTTACAATAATTATTTGCCCTGTTATGATAAAAGAGAAAATGACAATAAAATATTTGTTGGAAAATGCACCCTTCAAGATATTGAGCTTATCATTTAATCGTCGAGAACTGTTAAAAATCGAAAAAATTATCTCGTTAAAATATAAGAAATCATGTTATAAGTAACTATAATTAATTGGCCGATAACTTAACTTAATTTCATTGAATATTTGAAGGAAAACGAAAGTATTGAAAATTATCGTTGGTAAACTAGACCTTTCTTCGGGTGTATCGTAATGCAATATATCATTCCCACAGTACAACAGAACCAACGTAACTATTAATTGAACTGCACATTGTCCAAGTATCATTTTCCACATATCTAAAGAAATCAATGATGCTGATCTAGCTTCGGGTTTACGTTTTAATAAATCCGGTGTCGGTGGATCAGTGGCCAATGCTAAAGCAGCGAGTGTATTCATTATTAGATTAATCCATAATAATTGTACCGCCGATAATATCGCTTCTTGTTGATCACTAGAAACTGCCGATATAAATGTTAATAGTACAGCCGTCAAATTCACTGTAAGTTGAAATTGTAAGAACTTTTTAACTGAATCATTTACACTACGTCCCCACATAATTGCTTTCACAATACTTGAAAAATTATCATCCATCAATACAATCGAGGACGCTTCCTTTGCAACTTCTGTACCCGCTATACCCATAGAAAATCCTACATCTGCTGCTTTCAATGCAGGTCCATCATTTGTACCATCACCTGTTACCGCGACAACTTCTCCTAATTCTCGAAGTTTTTCTACCAAAATTTTTTTATCTTGTGGACTAGATCTCGCCAAAACTTGCAAATTAGGTACCACAGTATTCATTTCATCCGGTAATAAATTACGAAACTCATGACCTTCAATCACAATACCATCAGTATAAATCCCGCATTGCGTAGCGATTGATTTAGCTGTCATGATGTTGTCACCAGTGACCATACGAACTTTTACACCTGCTCTATTACAATCTTGCACGGCTTCACGTACTCCATCTCTCAATGGATCCTCGATACCGACAATTCCTAGTAATATAACATTTTTAACTAAGTCGTCAAATGTAATTTCTCTATCTACAACATTCATTCCACTGGGGGGCCATTCATTGAAATCACGATACCCCATACAAATAGTTCTCAAACTTTGATGTGCATAATTTTCTATGATTTGTCGTAATGCGGTAATATTTTCCTCTGTTAAATTAGAATATACCGATACTTCATCATCTGATAGATCAAGATTTACAATGAATTTCGCTTTTTCAAGTAATAGTTCGCTAGCACCTTTAACATAGAACCTCCATTTTGACTTTTCTTTTTCAATAACAACTCCCATAGCTTTACGTTCTGAACTAAATGGAAATACTTGTATTGGTTTGATTTTCCTTAAATCCATAAAATTTTTACGGTCCATATCAACCAGAAAACTTAGTAATGCAGTTTCAGTTTTTGAACCAGTAAAAGTAATTTGACCATTTTCAGATACATTCTCAAATGCAGTAGAATTAATTACAAACGACTCTTCCAACAAATTCATAATAACAGGTGAAAGAGTTTCCTTAAGTTCTTGTAATGAGATAGGCCTATTTAGGTTAGGAATACTAAAATCATTCGCACGAGCTAGGTCCTTTAAAAAATTTAAAGTCAACCCTATTGTTCCAGTAACTACGGACATATTATTTTGAGTTAATGTGCCAGTCTTGTCTGAACATACAGTTGTTGCTCCTCCCATGGTCTCACAAGCTGATAAAACTCGTACAAGATTATTATCTTTTAACATACGAGTTGTTGCAAAAGCAAGTGCTAGTGTTACAGCCAATGGTAATCCTTCAGGAATTGCCACTACTATTAAAGCCACGGTTGAAGTTAAAATTCTGATCAAACTCTGAATGATGGATGTCGTATTTGGAATACCAAAATTAAAGCTGATAAAATATTTGATTAATAGGACGATTAACATGAGAAGAGTTGCACCTCCACCTAATTTTGCGATGTCATCAGCGAGTTTGCTTAGTTTTTTCTGAAGAGGTGTATCTTCAGGTTCAGTTCTTAATGCTAATGAATGAAAAAAAAAAAAAAGTTAATAAAAATTCTTTACATAAAAAATAACATGACAAAAAAATAATGTGATGTACCCATCATCGTTTTTCCAAAGTATGAATTTACGCCGACAGACGTTACAACATAACTTCCTACACCTTCTAAGACTTTACTTCCACTAATTACAAAGGGATCAAGTTTCGAAAGAGTAGATGGATCGTGTTCAACATTTTTTTCTAATGCTTTAAGACAATCTTCGCAGTTCATCTTTCTCACTGCATCACTTTCGCCCGTGGCTGCAGATTCGTCACATTTAAGATTGTATGAGTCAATAAGCACTCCATCCGTTGGAACAATATCACCTGGTTCTAATTTGAGGATATCACCAACCAATATATTATATACTGACAGAAGAAATTCTTTACCATCTCTGATCGCTTTAACATCCCGATCCTCTTTTTTGGCATTTAATTTTTGGAATTGACGCAGTTTCTGCCAATGATTTAAACTACTTACTAATACCACAATAAAAATTGCTACAAAAATTGCCACCCCTTCAACCCAACTAACTTTTGGTTTATGTTCTTCATCCTCATGCTTGGCACCGAAATCTTCATAAAGACCGAGACCTAGTGATAAGATTGCGGCTATGGCTAAGAGAATTATAATTTTTTCCTGCAAAGCGATCCACATTAATTGAAAAATTGTTTTTTGTTTCTTGGTTGGTAAAACATTTCTACCATAAATTTTTATTCTATGAAAGAAGGACGTGTTTTTTGAAATATCAGATGATTGCAACTGTGAGTTTTTATCTTGCCCTTCTAAAACTTCGATATTAACAATATCATCCGGATCATCCGATGTGATTGGACTTAAAGTGGTTTCATTACTACTCAAACCAGTTTTTGAGTTCGTGCGTAAACCAGTCAATAAGCCTTCTGCACCATCAATATCTTTCAATAAATTTACATCCTTAGAATCTATCAATTTTGATAAGATTTGAGGAGTAAACGCGAACGGACTAAGATACTCTTCGTAGTCAGGAAAGTCACATTCTTCATGCATACCCTGATTAAATTTTATCTTTAATATTATAATATACTTTCAATATATGTGTTTTGAATTATTAAAGTGTCAAGGGGAACCCAATTTTTCATGGAGAACGGAATGATCCAGTAATACGTATAATAATAAAACCAGAATAAACGAATTAAGAAAGTTATTAGATCCCTAAAGGAAAAACCAACAGGTTTAATAGTTTGTGGATTTCGTTTTAGAACTTTCTGTTTCTCAAATATTTAATGCATTTCAAAATATATAGATTTTAAATTGGGGGATGGCTAAAGTCATGTACCCACGTGATTTTTCGAAAATTTAATTAAACTTAAAGGTTAGAACTTGCCTTCGCGGCATTTTTTGTTAATGCCCAAGACAGGTTTAGGTTACTGTTTTTTGGGTTCTTTATTTTTTGACTTCGGGCTGATCCGTGTAAGCAAAATTCCGCGATTGATTTACACAAAAAATGTCACATATGTACATTGGTATATGATTATCATCTATATAATAGAAGCGAAGTTATATAATAGATTTAAAGTTCAGAAGTGGTTTTTATTAAAATATCTATTTATTAGTTAGCTATTCTATAAAATCTCGAAATTTGATTGTTGGCCCGAAGCATCCTTTTGCTGCGGGCTCCTTGATACAGGGACACGGAAATTTTTCGAAAGCAACTTTTCAAAAGAAAACAAAATTTTTTGCCCCAATCGAAATTTTTCA